GGCCACTTGCACCTGACAGACTATGCCTAAGGCAGTTGGTATGAGGCAAGTATGTTATTCGCTAGCAGCAGCTGATGTCCTAAAATCCTAAAACAGAGAAGTGCCAACCAACAACTGTACACAGAAAAGGAATTGCGCGAAGCATCTCATGCGCAGCTGTGTGCGCAAGCGGATTACGCGGTCAGTGCAGTGGCCTTCCCAGGAAGCGAAGCAAGACAAAGCAAAACCACACAACTAACCCCTAAACCCTAAAAGCCCACAACGCCTGGAGAGAAGACCACGTACAACCGATGACAGGAATCCGATCGCACGATCGGTGTGAAGGGGGTCACAGCAAAACCTCAGACCTTTCTCACTACCACCCCCCACCACCACACCCCACCACCACACCCCACTACCACCACCCACTACCACACCCCACTACCACACCCCACTACCACACCCCACTACCAAACCCCACACCTCACTGCCACACCCCACAGCCACGCCCCACTGCCACAACCCACTACCACACCCCACTACCAGCCCATGCGCTTAATCACACAGGCTTGCACTGCCTCTGATTCCCTGTGTACGTTAGTCATACAGCCGTACACTACTACTACCCTCCCACCCCCTTCCCCTGTGCACAGACACAGACAAGTATACCACAACGCCGTCTCAACCGCAAACACTCACCGCATTGAACTCTGGCATCTCAATCTTCATCAGCGGATAGGGCTCCAGGATCTTAAACACCGTGTCTGTCAAGGCTTGCGATATGGCGGCCACTAACGTGTAAGCATGATGCAGGTCGTAGATGCTGCGCGAATGTGAAAATGGAGTGCATGTGAATGGTCAAGTGAATGATCAAGTGGGGGTGCGGGTGAGGGGTCTGTATGTGAGTGTCATGTATTTCCCAATCGGTGCTCGTGAGCAGGAGCGTATGCGCTGACATTGACACTCGCCCAGCACTAACAGTGGATGGCCCACTCACAGTAAAAACGTGTCACTATCGAACAGTACACAACGTGCGAACGCGTGGGAGTGCATGAACATGTACACCTGTATACATGCGTGGCAGTGCATGAACATATACACCTGTATACATGCGTGGCAGTGCATGAACATGTACACATGTATACTTGTGTGGCAGTGCATGGACATGTACACATGTATAAATGCGTGGCAG